TCATACTTATGCGGATTTACACCTTTATTGGCATAAATGTATGGATTTACCATTTTGTGTATTTTAAGTTCACTAATACAGTATACTTGCAACTTTGCTTTTTTCTTAATTTTACCATTTTGTGTATTTATGGTTCATTTAAAGTGTTTACGTTTGTCAGGGAGGACGGAATCGGTTTGCTGAAGCACTCCAACCCGCCGGACCCAAGGTGGATATAACATCCCAAAAATTCGAGCCAATTTAAAAACTTCTTGATTCATTTGAAACCATTCAATTATTACAATTTGTTTTCAAAATAGTTTATACATCAGAGTTCCTAGAAATCATAATCGTAAATCGAGGAAGTGTACGGTCGCGCCTTCGCCTACCTGCGGTTCCTAGAAATCATAATCGTAAATCGAGGAAGTGTACGGTCGCGCCTTCGCCTACCTGCGGCCCTCCGCTGAACCTGAAACAATAAACTGAAAACTGTAAGCCCGAAAGCTTATTGAGTTATCCCCAAAATACCAACCTCATATAACCATAATCATATTATATCAACAAATACAGAACAACCATGCATCTCGGGTATACAGTGTGACTGGTCCGCCCGCACCGGGCCTTCAGTCTACCCGGTCCACTCTCTGAGTCTACAGTATGACTGGACTGCCCGCACCGGGCCTACAGTCTATCTGGATCTATCCCGAGCCTTTGATATGACTGGACCGCCATACGGGCCTACAGTTTATCCGGACCGCTCGTAGGGTATGTTGGCCTTCAGCACGAAGTAGGACCGCCTCAACCCAAACATCAAGCAAATAACCATGTGCACATATAACAGGTAATCACATAACACTCCATAGACGGACAAACCGATCTAGCAGATCATATAGTATAGCAACATCCTAACCAGGATACCGACCTAACCGGTCACTAACATAGCATCATCCTATATACCAGGATACCGACCCTAACCAGGTCACTAAACATAATACCGTCCTAATTACCAGGACGCCGATCTAACAAATCAATAAACATATCAACAATCCTATAACCAGGATATCGACCTAACCGGTCACTAACATAGCATATCACCATCCTAACTACCGGGATGTAAATCAGTAAGCATGTCATGCAATAATCCAAATATAAACCATAAAGGGCCGGCATTGGTGCCTTAGACCCTGTTGATATAGTGAGGATAACTCACCTTGCAATGTCGGACTGAACCACGAAAACACGCTCCCGAAACACTGCCCCAAACTCCAACACCTATAACCATCAATGATCCAATCATAAATACCCATAAGTTCCCAACCTTTCAAGGTACCCCATAAGCCAACTAATCACACCCTGGTCAAAGTCAAAGTCATCAGTCAAGGTCAACAGTCCATGTTGACCCTAACTCGCCGAGTACCCTCGGCTACTCACCGAGTTCCTTGAAGTACTTGTCCACTCGCCGAGTCATCGGAGTGACTCGTCGAGTTCCTTCGGTTTACGATCGAAACCCTTAGGCCACTCGTCGAGTTTCCTTCTTGCAACTCGATGGTTACACACGCATACATAAATTGGGGAAACCTCAACCGACTCACCGAGTTGTTCATACAACTCGTCGAGTTTACGGCAATCTTCATCGGACTCGCCGAGTTGTTCATCCAACTCGTCGAGTCCAGGCTCATCTTCATGTGACTCGCCGAGTCAACCTTGCGACTCGCCGAGTTCCTTTAGTCCTTAAGCCATACAGACTCTTTTTAAGCCATGTTAAGACGCCATACTGCAGATCCAACTTCCCAAGGCATGCTTATCACGTAAAGTTGCAAACTTTACGTGCATGCAAGGCTCTAATGACTCATAATGCCAAATCCAAGCTTGAAATGGGGTTTTACACTTAAGGAGGGGTTCATACTTGCCAAAGCTGATAGCTTTATGGACTTACAAATCAAAGATAGTTCAGATCTGAAGTTACAACTTCAGATCCGGGCTCATACCCAAAAATAGCCTCATAACCAAACCAAGAAGCCCTAATTTCATCCAAGGAGATCTAGAAAGGAATGAGGCCAAGATCATGAATTGATACCTCAAATGAAGCTAACTGAGATAGATTTTGCAGATCCACACAAGTCCCTTGCTGCTAGCTACTTGACCTTCAAGCTCCCTTCACAAGTTCCACCTTCCAAAGCTTGAAACACACAAATGGAGCACACACACGTATTAGGGTTTTGCTGAACTCTCTAGAGGCTGCAAGGGAAGGCTAAGGGGAAAATGATCCTTTAAATACGGTGCAAAACCCCGGAATTTAGGGTTTCATCCTCCAGCTCCTACTCGTCGAGTCCCTTCTTGGACTCGGCGAGTAGGTCACTTAAACTCGCGGACCAACTCGCTGCTACTCGGCGAGTCAGACAACCAATTCGTCGAGTAGACCTTGAAATCATGAGAATTTATAATCATAAATTGATACTCGGGAATCGGGGCGTTACAGCGGAAGGAGTCGAACCCGCCCAAGCCGGATCCCTCCCAACCCATCTTCCCCATATTCCTTCTCCTCTAGCGGTTTGAGGAACCCTCAATACGCTCTCTTTCTCTTTTGCTCTCCTCCCGCTCATCCCTCTTCTCCTGCCTGGTCAAACCCGCTCACTCCAACCCGCTACGATTCCCTCCTCCCTCAAAAGTGTTCACTTTTACCTCTTTTTTAGTTCATAAAAGACCTTAAGTTCGGTTTTCTGATTCATCAAAGCTCTTAAGTTTGACATAATTGTTCGGTTTTACCGGGTAAAACTGCAAAATGGTTAAAAAAAAAAGTTGCAAGTATCTGATGTTAATGAACCTAAAATGCCAAAAAAAAAGTCCACATATTTTTGTCAACCTTAAGACTTTTAACTCTGAGTTATTATCTGGGCTGTTAATGCCACACTTTTGAACTTAAAATATTTTGGAATTTAAAATCAAATGATTTTAAAAAGTATTTTAAATTATCCTAGAGTGAGGGGTACCGTCTGATCTGGAAGTGACCGGACGACAGAAAACAGTTGGGGACGACGCTATGCAAAGCAGTCGTCGGATCTTGAAACCAATCTCACGCCCAAAAGCACGGGGAACTTAACTCCTATTGGTGGTAACGGGAAATACAATGACAACGTTTAGACGGGCGCCTCAATCTAAGCATGAGGTGGTGAACAGCCTCAATCTAAGCAGTCGATGGCCAAAACAATAGGCGACAACTTCACTCCTATTGGCGTTCAAGGAAAATTGTCTACCCTTACGGTCGTCCGATTTGGAAGTGATCGGAGGGCGAAAAACAATTGGGCCGCTATGCATAGTAGTCGTCGGATCTTGAAATCAATCATATGACCAAAAGAATGGGCACCAACTTCAGTCCTATTGGCGTTCACTAAGCATGGGGTGGCAAACAACTTCAAAGCAATCGACGGGCAAAACAATGGGCTGCAGCTTCACTCCTATTGTTGTTGGTGTTCAAGGGAAATTGTCTAAACCCCTAATCGACTGTCTGATTTGGAAGTGATCGGATGGCGGAAAACAGACGGAGACGCTACGCAAAGCGGTCGTCAGATATTGAAACCGATCACTACTCCTAGGCGTTCACGGGAAATTGTCGACGCTGCCAAAAGGTTGGATGGCTTTCTCATAGGTATATGATATGATCTCAGACTTATTATATAAGGAAGATGCGTACATTTTCTTAATATTATTCCCCATAAATATAATGGTGGAAGCGTGACACAGCGGACACAATAGTGACACTATACCCGCACTTTTAATGACGTGTCGCATCAGCATGCCCCTGGCCTACATCATAACGTTGTATCCATCTCATCTTTCCAGCGAATATTTTTCATTTTGGCCCTCATAGTTTTTCGTATGTTTTCATATCACACGCCAATCAATCATGTTTCTCTAATTTACCCTTAGATTCATATGTCCATCATGTAGCAATAGTAAACGTGAACGACACACGAGAAAAGACTACATCATAATATCAACATTTAAAAGGAAAAAAAAATGAGATACATTTTAATATTAAATTTCCACTTATCTTAATTTTCACATGAAAATGTCATAACATTAAAATATTTTCTTTTTCATCGTTTTATCAATATTCCAATAACATCATATCATACATCTTTGCAAGTAAAATCATAAATTTTGATTTATCATCTTCAGGCTATTATATACTTATTCGTTGTATTTTTGAAAAAGTCATACTTAAATCAACTAGGAAAAACAATTTTACTTCCTTGACTCATCAATGCAATATTTTGGTTTAATATAATAATACCAAATTATTTTCAAAATATATTATATCTTTCAAATATAGCCTATTGCTTTTTAATTAATATACTTTGCAAATGACTTAAAATTCTTGTATTTTGTTGATTGCTGACTAATATACTTTCCAATGGTTTAATATTATTGTATCAAACCATGATTTCTAACAAATAGTAACATAAACGAAACACATCAAAAGTCGTCATCATTTTATAGCTTCATCCTTTCTAATAGTAAAAAAATGTCAAAAGTTGAATCATAGTACTTTTTCTCAGCTACACAATAGAGTGTACAACTTATAAAATTCTTATTTGAAAAAAAATATATTTTACATTTAAATCTAATTGGCCAAAATAAATGATTATACGCCAATGTTAATGGTTTATTCATATATTATTTGTTAACACCAATGTCTACATGTAGTGTAATGTAAACAATGTTGCGACATTTACTCGGTGAAACTAACTAGTTAAAAGTTGTTAATTTATCACTAGTCATACTACCAATATAAAAAAGATAAATTATAATGTATTCATAACAATTTTATAAATTAATCATGAAATCATGAGAAAGCACACCCACGAAATCACGAATTATAAGTTTATAACTAGGTTGTACAATAATCAACGAATTATAAGTGAGCACGACATGAACTAAACTGAAAACTTGAAGGGCCAAACCTGAAAAAACTCGCTTCACAGTTAAGTATCCCGCGTTCCACGCAGAGCTTACGCAGGTGTTGTTCCCACTCGCGAAGAGAGGGTGAGAGAGACGTAAATCACTAAATCTAACAACACACCACAAGATACGGTGCATAATTTTTGGTATCAATTTCAATAGCGGTTAAAAATTAGTCATGAATCGCCGCGAAGATACGAATCCTTTTGATGAAGAAGTCAATCCATTCTCGGTAATTACTGATTTCACGCACTCATTATTGTTAGATCTGCCATTATTTTAGCTTGTTGCGTAGTTTTTTTGAAGAAAATTCGGTTTAATTTAACGGTTGGCTTTCTATTTGAGGATAATGTGCGTATGTGCGCAGTGTTTAGGGTTGTACATGTATTTTGCATGTAATTTGTGTAATTTTGCCGTAGATCTGAGGTAGTTGATGCTGAAATGTTGATAATTGTGTGTAGAACTGCAATGTGTTCTATTGGTTCGTTATTTTGCAGAAAATAAATAGAGAGTTAATTCGAAATAGAAAAGCGTTCTTTAGGCAGCTAACATGGACCTTCTCATGAACACTAGACTGAATTCAGTCACTTATGCCCCCAAATTCTGTAGCGAGATCCTAATTCATTCCAAGAAACAGAGATTTGATTTGGTTTTTAAGGTCGTAGGAGTTGTATTTCGATTTTATTACTTTTGGACGAACTTATGGAGGTGGAACTACTTTCAAATTAGAACATGATACTCCTCTCCACAGAAAATGCAAGATGACTTGTGCACCATATTCAAATTACTAATGTTATGCAATAAAATGATTACTAAGCGGGGAAATTTGAAAGTAGTTTAAAAACCAAACCTAAAATAAAATGCTACATTTTCTGGGAAAAAGCAAAATGGAAGGTGTTGCATTTTTGGTATGAAGGATCAAGGATGCATCAAAAACTATAAATCATGTAGGTTATAATTTTTGTAACAAGATCTCATTAATATTCTGTTGCCACATTTGACAAGTCAAAATACATCTCATTTGTCGATTGGAGTAATAGACTAGCATAGATGCAACAGATAAAGGTTCTGATTTTTGTCATTCTCTTGAGTTTTTGTTTTGTCAAATAATATTAAAATTACCAAAACAGAGCAAGATGCTTCTTGTTTGTTTATATTTTATATTATGAATAAGAAAATTATATTTTTCTTTGGCAAGTTCACCCAATTTCTTTTAATGGTATCGGATAGCTGATTTTTGAATGTGTAGGCTAAAATTTCATTATTTTATTGTCGTGTAACATAACATAGACAAGCACCAGTGCATTAAACTTTATTCAGGCATCTTTGTTCTCAAATGTGAATATGCATTTTGAGTTTTGCTATCAATTGGGTTAGTTTTTATTCGAATATGTTGTCACAAGCATATAATTATGTTAACAGAATATGTTTATATTCTTTTAAATCTAAACAAATCTATGTCTTGTGTGGGATATTAGACTTGTTTGACCATAAAAGTCTAAACAATCGTCTGGTTCTTTTATTCAAGGAGTACTACTTTTTTTTGAACACAGAGTGGCTTACATGGTTTCTTCCATGACACTAAAGAAGTGTGATGATATGGGATATGGATGTTATGTAATGATTTGACAATACATTACAGTTTTGAAATATTGATGTATTAGAGTTTCATACACAAATATTCAGGTTTTATAGTTTACTTCTGTTTGTCATTCCCATTATTCCTCTCATTCTGATCCTTGTCCTGCATCACTCATTTAGCCAATTATGGTGATAAGATGTCTGTATTTAATATTTATGTAAACTACCAGATAGAAAAGGTAGCAGATACTCAGCAGTCAATGTTAAAATTTAAGCCACAACCACCCAAATCTTACGTTTGTATCAGAAAGACTTAAAAAAATGGAATTTTCCAAAAATAGTTTATAGAAACCACCTGCAAACTCAAAAAATCTTTAGATGCAAAAACGGGTTAGGTAAGTATTATTTTTCCCTATGAAACAATCTTATAAATATTACAAGACTCAAGAATAATGATAAAGTAGTTAAATAATCAGCAATTCTTAAGTTGTTGAACTGGCTATTGTTTAGTAATAGTTAACACTTATTAGAAAAGCTTATATTATATTATTTAGTGGATGTGACATTAGAAATTCTCAATTTTGAATTTTGAAAGATGAAATTTTGATTTGGTTTTATAAGTGTTGTTATTTTTATGGGTTTGATTGCAGAAAGGTGGTGGTGCAGGTGCTCCAGCATCAAAATCCCGTATCCCTCAAATGGTTGCTAGTAGCCTTGGTTTTGGTCAAAAACATGATGCAACTGTGGACATACCATTGGATTCAGTGAATGTATTAATTATGTCATTTGTTTCCCTAGTTAGTAATTAGTAATTAGTAATTTCTGGATGCTTATAAAATGGAGTAGTATTAATTAAGCCATGTCATGTTACAGGATCCAAAGAAAAAAGAGAATGAACTTTCTAATTGGGAAGCAGACTTGAAAAGAAGGGAAAGGGTAGGTGTTTGAGTTTTCAGTTTTTATGTTTGTTATTAATTGTATTTAATTCCTATGCAACCAGCTGAGGTGACATGAAATTATGTATTTTTGTGCATCACACAACACAGGACATCAAGCGAAGAGAAGAAGCTGTTGCTGGTGGTTAGTATTAGTATTTAGTATCATATAAATATTCGGAATAAGAGTCATTTTGACAATTGATACTTTTGGTTATTGATGGCATATGAAAAAACAGCTGGCATCCCGACAGATGATGATAGAAACTGGCCTCCATTTTTTCCAATAATTCATCATGATATAAGCAATGAGATACCAGTTCATGCTCAAAAGTTGCAGTATTTGGCGTTTGCAAGTTGGTTAGGGATTGTGCTATGCCTTACATTTAATGTTGTAGCTGTGACTGTCTGTTGGATCAAAGGCGGTGGTAAGTTTATTTTATCATCTACATATACTACTTTTCTTTTATTATTTTGTCATCTACTACTACTACTTCAAAGTTCAAAGTTCAAAGTCCAAACCAAAATTATATATACAGGTGTGAAGATATTTTTCCTTGCAACAATTTATGCTCTTCTTGGAGTACCTCTTTCCTATGTTCTATGGTACAGGCCACTCTATCGTGCAATGAGGTGGGTATACATTGATTTAGTTATATTCTATCTCTAGTCTAGCTAAAACCATTATAAAAAATGTTTCTAAATTAATGTTTTTGTTTCATCATGTGTTGACAGGACTGACAGTGCTTTGAAATTTAGTTGGTTTTTCTTGTTCTACCTGGTAAGTTATGCTAGTGTAGGAAGCATTTGCTGATATTTCTTTCTCAATTTGAAAATTTGTTTTAATTTTGCAGCTTCACCTTGGGTTTTGTATATTTGCTGCTATTGCTCCTCCAATTGTCTTTCATGGGAAGTCATTAACGTAAGTTATCCTCTTATCTTCACTGTAGTGTATAATTTTAGGATAAAACAATGTCTTGTTTTTTAAATCTAATTTTTGTCTCTCTTGTTTTTTAACCACCAGGGGTATCCTTGCTGCTGTTGACGTTTTCTCTGACCATGCATTAGTGGGGGTCAGTGCTAAATATTGCAAGTTACAATCACTGTTGATAAATTGTTAGCAAAAATAATAACAACCATCCATCTGGTTTTATTCTTGTTCTGTTGTTGCAGATTTTCTATTTAGTAGGATTTGGATTATTTTGCTTGGAATCACTTCTAAGTTTCTGGGTGCTTCAGGTTAGATTTAAAAACTTTTATTCTGTTTTAACTTCTAAATCAGGAGGATGTCTTGTTTTGTATATATAATAATATATAGTGCCTCATGCTTTTTTATGTTTGTGCTGTTTATGCAGAAAGTTTACATGTTTTTCCGTGGGAACAAGTGAGATGAGATGAGATGTTTTTTTTCTTTCAAAAGAGAAGATCAATACAAGATTGCTGATGTCTGTTCGTATATTGTTAGTTGGAGTGAGTTACTACTTTACTAGTTAGAATATGAATATGATTGGTGTGTTGATTTGTGCTGTTAGCAGGGTTTTGTGCTTATGCTTTTCTTTTGGCAGTTTATCAAGTTTTTTTTTTTTTTTTTTTTTTTTTTTTTTTTTGGGTGAAAAAGCTAATAATTCCAAGGATCTTTATGAAAAATAAAATGGTGGTATATGCACAAAGACGTGTTACGTGGACATATATGATTGTACATTCATCAGTACCGGATAGGCTTGTCATTTCTACCATATCATAGCTTTGCTACATTTACATAGTAAATATGATATAAAATTGTAAATTTATCATATTACATGGTTATAAAAATATTTTATATGGGCCGCTAAAACTATATAAATAGATTGCAGCATTCTTTACAATGAATCATTTCTAAAAAGACAAACTAAAGAATAATACAACTTATATTCCTCTTGGGGCGTTATACAAGAGAAACAAAGGACAAAGTGCAAATACAAAGCTGATCAAAACTGAATCATCATATCCTTTTTGTCTCCACAATTTGAAACTTTTGGTTTGATATGTAACCTAATAAACAAACATATCTAGTGTACCCCAGGCCAAAACTAAAATAATAATCAACTCAGTTAATAAAACTCTATCATGTTATGGTGTTTCTGAAGAGTTGTCACATACCCTTCATCCTTAATCACCAAAACGAAATTCTTTAACAACATATAAATCTCATCAGACCGAGGATTACCTTTGTCCGCAGCCCCAAAAACATAGGTCTCATTATTCACCTCGATCCAACTATAACCAGGCACTTTCTCAACTCCTCTATCTTTCATCATACTTCTCGTTTTATTAACACCTTCCCATTTCCCAGCATCCGCTTGCACATTCGCCAACAACACATAATACCCCGAATTCCCAGGATCCATCTCAAAAAGATGTCTTGAAGCCATTTCTGCCAACTCAACATCCCCATGGACACGACAAGCACCAAGCAAACTCCCCCAAACACCTGCATCTGGATCAAAAGGCATCCCCTTTATCGTCTCAAAAGCTTCATGCAATCGACCCGCCCGCCCGTACATATCGATAATACACGCGTAATGCTCCTTTCCAGGGGTAATTCCGTAATCTTCCGTCATGGACTTAAAGTAACGGAAACCGTCATCAACCAAACCGGAATGATCACATGCGGAAATTACCGCAAGAAACGTGACATGGTCAGGAAGGAATCCGGATTCTTCCATCTGGCAGAAAAGAGAAACACATTCTTGAAGACGACCGTGGTTTCCATAAGCCGAAATAATACTATTCCACGACACTTCGCTTTTCTTTTCCATTATGTCGAAAACAATCCTTGCTGTTTCCAAGTTTCCACATTTAGCATACATATCGATTAGCGCACTCTCGGCATAAAGATCGGTTTTCAACACACCTCTTGTCATGAACCCATGGACTGCTTTCCCATAACTAAGCAACGGTATGTTTGCACAAGCAGAAAGAACAGCCGATATGGTCACCGAATCATATTTGGAACCCATTTCACGGAAAAGATCAATAGCTTTTTCTGGTTCTCCATTATGGCAAAAACTAGTAATCATAGAGTTCCAACAAACGGGATCTTTCTCAGACACTCTTACAAAAACTTCATGTGCTAAATCAATCCTTCCACATTTCGCATACATATCTATAACTGCTGTTCCCACATGACACCTTTCAACCCCATTTTTTACAATTTGACCATGTAACTCTTTGCCAGATTTTAAAGCGGCTAAACCAGCACAAGCTGGTAAGGTGCTCGAGAATGTGACAGGATTCGGTTTCATTTTGTGGTTAATCAGCCATCTAAACATCTCCAATGCATCAGAGTTCATCCCATTAAGCACATAACCAGATATCATGGCTGTGCATATCACAATATCTATACCGGGAGTATAAGTGAAAACATTTTGTGCCATTTCCACTTCCCTACATTTGAAGTACATATCGATAAGTGTATTCTTCAAGAAAACATCCAAATGTACATTATGTCTGAAAATATAACAATGGATCTCTTTACCATGGTTTATAGCAGTTGACTCGGTTATACATGGAAGGAAGCTAGCCAAAGTTACAGTATCTGGTTTCATGCCTATAGATATCATTTCACAAAACAAATTAAAAGCTTCATTCATAAGTCCATTTTGTACATACCCACCGATTATCACATTCCAAGTAACCGATCCAGCTTCTTGTATGCCATCGAATAACTCTCGGGCATCAAACAGTCTTTGGCACTTTGTGTATACACCAATTAACGTGTTGAGCACTTGAGGATCCGAAACAAATCCACACTTAGTAAGAAGCCCGTGAAGTTGAGTGCCAAGTTTAATATTTGCATCAGATGCACATGCAGAGAGGACACATGCATAGGTCACTGAGCCTGGTCGAACATTGGAACTCCTCATTTGGTTAAAGAGTAAGAAAACATGTTTGGGATCCCCGTGTTTCAAGTAACCATTAAGAATAACGTTCCATAATACATCATCTCTCTGAGGCAATTTATCAAACAGGTCTCGTGCGTCATTAATACAACCGTTTTCCGCATACAGTTTGATTAAGGCACTACCTACATAAACATCCGTCTCAAAACCCATCATTTGAATCGTCTGATGAATGGATTTAGCCAAACGGATTGCTCCCAAACGACCACATGCCTTTATCACGTATGGAAATGTATACTTATCTGGACAAGTTTCATGTCCTAACATCTTGAAATAAACTAAGATTGCATAGTCGAAACACCCCATCATGGTGAACCCTCTAATCATCCAATTCCATGGCGATGCGTAAAACAGATCAAGTTGATGAAAAATTGTCTTAGCATCATTGTATTTCCCACAAAGTATATACATCCCAAGTAATCTTGAACCCAGAAGACCCACATGGTTGATTCCGTTGATGATTATCTGGGCATGAAGCTGCTGACCTTGTTGAATGACTTGAGGACCAGGATTAGGGGTTGAACAAGATTGCAAGACTGATGCGAGTTTGGATATTAAAACTTCCTTTGTATTCGGGAAAAGCTCAATAGATGTATTTGTGTTTATTGATGATGCTATTTGGGAAAATCTCCTGTGAAATGAGAAGAGGTTGCTTTGGTACATTCTATAAAGTCAAATCCTCATTAATCATATCCCATGTTGAAAAGCTGTACCAAGTCCATCACTAGTATACTCTTTGTCATTTCATAACAGTTTAAATTTGTATCACTGGGATGAAGCTTCAGAGCATGGATCAGCCCCATTTTGACCTAAAGCAACCCATTAATGGAAAAGACTGTTGTAGTTCAATTATGCAGTGTACATCTGCAATTAAAAAGCGCAAAGTAAACGAATTTAATGTAGAATTTCAACATAATGTAACAAGTGTATAAGATTAATCATATGCCATTGAACACTAATCTCACGATAACATGGTTGTTGATCGATTACTCTAGCTATTGTTTGTGAGGAGAAGAATTACTGATGTCAAAAACAGTCGGCCATTGACCTACGGCTTACAAGTTTGCCAATGTAGAATAACAAGAAAAAACTCGAATAAACAGACCGTTCTTACATTATTGGGTAATGGGTACGAGCGGCGAACCAGACAGCCAAATAGACAGATTGGTTGAATGCGTTCATGTACCTTTTAAGCCTAGTTCATAAACAGAGGACACAAAAATCCCGAATCAGTTGAGCCTTTATCATTTCCTGCGTCTTTGTAGTGTAGGTAGTTACGATTAAAAAACAATCGATTTTCGATTTTACGGGTTCTAAAACACAATCTAGGGTTTAGGATTCACGCATAGAAGAAAGAACAGAAGAAAACTGGTTACCGGGTTGTTTGACAAAGATAAACGAATCCCCGGTCGTGTGTTCAGTGTTGAACTTACCATTACTGAAACGGGCTAAAGGCGATAGATAGACAGTAATCGATTTTTTTATCTTGTTATTAGAAATTAGAATTTCGTATTTTTACTTTTTCTTAATTTCAATTTATAATTGTAAGAATATTTACAGAAACGGTCCCTAAACTTCACTTAAATTAGTAATTTTGGTCAGTTTTTTACTTTTTTTTTCATACAGGGTTCCATAGTCTCATTATTTTCTTGTAGTTTTGGTCCCTCTAATAATACCATGGTTAAAAATCCAACGTTAACTCCATGTGATATGACTATTATACCCTCATTTCATTTTCATTTTTTTTTGTTATTACGAGTTTAGGTTGAAATTATAGCATTTAGTTCATAAGAAACAAAGAACTTTTTGTATTGTTAATTATACTTAAATTAGAGGTCATGGGTTCAAGTCTCTCAAGAGACATAGATGATATTTAGGAATAGATTTAGATAGTTTGTCGTTTAAAAAAAAAGTTAATTATACGTAACCTATAATGTCACACACATAAATGATAATAAGTATTTAATATAAGTAAATAATTAGTTACTTATTATTTATTGGTATCGAATTGATACACTTTGAAATGAAAGAAAACATGTAATAAGATATAAGATTGAAAGGTGTCGTAACCCCGGTAATCCGATTTGACATGTTTTGCCGGCGGTGAAACCACCCCCCTACATCTTTTTTACCTGTGGTATTATGCCGCCGGTGTTCTTCCATCGGTGGTAAATTGGACTTTTGTTTCTATTGTGGTTTTTGATTGGTCACTTGTAAACTTAAGTTTTTTTTTTTTATTTCATAGGTAAAAAAATTATCACACGGCAAAAATTGTTAAAAAATACAAATGCTTACATAGTGTCTATGTGGCACACCTTTTCTATTAGTAAATAATTTACTACATCCTTTAGCCTAACACTTTAAAACTTGATGGGCTTTTGAAAAATGGATATCATAATTAGATCAATGAGTAAAGATCAAGTAATCGTGATTTTACCTAATCTCATATCACTTGTTAGGTTTGATACTATTTTGATATGCTTGTAGAATTGGGGTTCGATACAAGTATGAGTTTTAAAATTTGTTTTCAAAACATAAACATAGACAAGATAATAAACAACAACCGTTTAATCTTTATGGGGTTTTTTGGTTTATACTGAATCAAAAACAATATGTATACAAGATGCATAAAG